CAAAATATATGGTTAGCTGCAAAAATGGCGATACTACTGGTGATATCGATATAGATGGTAATATGTTTGAACAGGTAGATAAATTTAGGTATCTAGGTTCTACGATAACTAGAAAAAACGAAATTGAAGAAGAGATTAAGGTTAGACTGAAGGCGGGAAATGCTTGTTATTTTTCTGTGACAAAACTACTTAGGTCGCGCCTATTGTCCCGGAACTTAAAAATTAGAATCTATAAAACAATTATCTTGCCTACAGTTCTTTATGGATGCGAAACTTGGCCGCTTACATTAAGGGATGAGCAGCGTCTAAGGTTTTTGAAAATAAAGTATTGCGTAGAATATTCGGACCGAAGAAGGATGAGTTAACCGGAGAGTTCAGACGGTTACACAACGCCGAATTGCGTGAGCTGTATCCGGGTAATATAATTGAGGTAATTTCATCGCGGCGAATCAAATGGGCTTGTAAAGTTGTTGGGCTTAGTAACGAGAGAATTCCTAAAAGGTTAATATGTGCGGTGCCAAATGGTAAGCGTCCGAGGGGTAAACCGAAGCGAAGGTGGGAAGATTGCATTAAAGCCGATCTGAAGGGACTGGGTTTGGACGGCGAACGGTGGAGGGAGGTGTGTAATAAGCGATTGGTGGTGTCGGCATCGAACCTTCGGGTTCGCTAAGCCTTTTATTATTGTTATTATAATTCAATATCGTTAGTTTGGAGCAATCCATCTGGAAGCCTCTACCCAACAATAAAGCAGATAACTGGAAAGAAATATACCAAGAGGTACAGATGAAGAAGGCTGATTAAGGCGGAAAATGATTTATACCAACAGTATAAACTTTTATAATATAACTTATATGAATATAAATATAAAAGACACATTGGTAGTAAAATTAGTTCTTCTAACCGCTTCGACAGAGTAAATCACACGAGACCATTTTCTATTCAGGAGCCGAGTATTAAGACCTATATCTTGTAATATGACAGTAGACTCATTTCTTCACTATTTCAATACTTCACTGCAAGCACTTGCCTTTTTATCTTGGACAAATAATTATATAATCCTTGCAGCGTTATGGTAAGAGTAAACAAAGGTGTTTTCATTTTGTAAGTGTTCACGGTAAAAATGTGGAAATAATCGGTTAGCTATGCCCTATTCTTAAATATATATAAGAAAAGATATGTGATGGAGCTTTATATACATTAACTGGATAAATGAACAACTATTAGTATAAAAACAAAACGGTTACACCGTTTATTAAAATTGGCAGATTTCGACGTTTTATTTCCAAATTCTGTAACTGAATTGTTTGCTAATGGTCAATATGATAAATATTAATAATAATTTATTTGTATTGAATAAGTTAAAAAATCAGATATCTGTGAATTACCATAAAGCTATGATCTCCAGTTGTTTCCTTAATGAAAAAAATCAGAAAGAAAGTAATTATAATATATATTTTAAATCGATAATTAATAAAATTATATTATACACACACACACACACACACACACACACACACACACATATATATATATATATATATATATATATATATATATATATATATCATTAATCATACATATAAAACAGCATCACACTGTTTATCCCTGAGAACAGTATTATTTTTAACTATCCACCGAAAGAAGAAGAATTTATTTATAATTTATACCACGGTCGGTAGGAAAAATAAATTTAAAACCAGTAATTAACTATATTATAGATGAAAAAACAGTTTTTATTAAATTCATCAGGTTTTTTTTAAACTGTTTATTCAAGATATTTACAACTGTATTACAATATAAATACATTAAGTAAATGTGTACACACGAATATAATCACATGAAAACGCTTGTTGAGAAACTAGCCACTGGTAGCACTCTAATAATATGTTTATATAAGGAGATCACGAGGCCATCGTTTCACACCCCTCAGAGGATTATCAGGAATCGAAGAGGAAGCAAAGTTAGCAAGGAAAGGATCCGGATGGGTATGAACTGTATTATAGAAGGATAGGTATATGGATGTCTGTTGTAATTAATTGGAAGTTTAGAGCGTTTGTCAAGTAAGTGTTACAGTAAGCGAAAACGCAGAGCAGTTTCTTATTGTTTCAGTCTTGTAGGAGGATTCCAAGTGAGACGTTTGCCCAGGTGGAGTCCTAGATATCGGGGATAAGTTGGGTGTTATTAAAGGATACTGTAGGACAGGAAGTCATAGGCTTATTGTAGGTTTTGACTTCAAGGGGTAAAACCCTAGTTGGAAATACACCAATTCGGTAGATAGGTTTCTGCTGAAACCCTTTATGTAGTTTATAAAATTAGCATAAATCGCTATCCATTGCTGCTGAATTGAATCGATTAATGGAATCGATCGATGGAATTAGCGATTAGTTTAGAAACTTACCCTTTTGTTATTATGTTATGTTAATTCTTAAAATTATAATTTTTGTAAAAATTATGGTTTAACGTTTTTCTTCAGTTTTACTATATTCATTTATCTGTTCCATGTTTAAACTCGGCAAATACAATTGTATACTATTGTGTTGGTAAATAAGTCCTTTCGTTTTTTCAGGGTAAAATAAAACTCATTGTGTTATAGAGATAAAATTTATTTTAATCTACAATATATTGACCATTATTTAATATGACTTTTTCCTATATTTGCACTAACTGCATAACGTTACGTTCATAGAATGTCTGGAGTATTTTGTTAAAAAACTGATCCAAGTGGTTTTTGATGTCCTCATCTTTTGGAATTTCTTTCCCTTCATGGAGTTTTCGAGAAACCGGAATAAGTGGTAGTCACTTGAAGCTAGGGAGTAGTCTGAATAGGGAGGGTGGGGCAAAAGGTTCCATCCAAGGCCCAATAATTTATTGTGAGTGACCAATGAGATGTGGGGCCTAGGCGTTGTCTTGGTAGAACACAACACCCTTCCGATCATTCATAACTCTTCAGGATGTTCTCCAAATTCGACGTTATTATATCCGTTGGAAATCTGAATTATTGTTCTTGAAAGCCGTATAAATGGTTTGGAATTTAATGCCTACATAAGGAATAAATAAACAAAAACTTCTTATGGGTTTTTATTTTTTATCTCTATTTTTAGTTTGTTTACGAAGATCCTGTTGATGTCATTTTGTGTAGTTAACCACCCCTAACCAGCTAACCACCCCTAAATTCCTGCTAAATTTCTTGTAGATAGCTAAAGTCGTTTTGAAGTTATAACATTTTTTGTGATTTTCGAAAAAAAATCATGTGCTGGACCGAAACATTAAGCCTGGAAACACAGCTGAGCTAGTGCAAATGGTTTTCTACGCTTGTGTGAGACACATTTAGGGTCATAGCAATCGCTCGCACTGATTGGGTGGGATTTTGATCAACAATGGCCTTAACATTGTTCGTTTCAATTTCATGTGGGCGACCAGACCGTTGAGCATCATTGATATCAAAATTTCCTGAACCAATTTTGACAGGTGCATTCGGTTAAGGCATCATCCCATAAAAACGTCAAATTTTTCTTTGAGCTTATGCAGCAAGCTTACTATTTTTAAAATAATACAACAAAATATGCCGATAATGAATGAATGGACGAACACTAGAATGAATTTTTCGCCTGATATGAACATATTCTTAGAATAAATATTTAGTAAACAATTCTCAGGAACTCCTCAAATGCCCAATTTTCTCTCTTTATATTCAGTTTTAACTACACTCTTTATATGAAAAATCCGTTTCTATATAAATAAAGAAAAAAAGCAAACAAAAAACTGTTATCTACGTCAGGTGTCGATACTTAACAGCTTTACGAGTAATTGCGTCATTTGACACCGCATTACAGGCCAAGAACTATGCAGAGAAAATTAAATGAATCCAACTCATCTTTTTAAAATGGATAATATTAAATAGTTTCAGTGGATCAAAAAGAGTTATTTATTTTTTTAATAAAATAAAGTTTGACGTTTCGGGCATGTGGCGGGCTGCCAATGTTCAGTGACACAGAACGCGATCGCAGCGACCAATAACAAAGATATCGCGCGTTCTATCTGCATGGGCCTCAAGGCTCGTAACAGCCTTGGATTGCGCTGAATTACAAAAAAAAAAAAATAGTCCTCGGTATAGAACCCATTTTATCAAATTATTAACACTCATCTAAAAATTCTTAAAATGATTCGTTTTAGCTTAGCCTATAACTTTTATATTTATGAAAATTCTCGGAAATGAGACGTATTCAATCTGGAGATCGTTAAATTTGTCATTTTAATGATGTACTAATCATCACCCGTTTGCTTTCCACTTGAATCTTAAGATAATTTTATCACAAAATCGAGAGAGAAAAAAAAATGGCCTATAAACATATTGTGCTTGTTCTTCATCCACCGCATATCAAAATAAAGAGGTTACATGAGCCAAACGAGCGAATTTTTTTGTAGTCCATTTTTTTCATTTATGTGATCAAATTATCTTACGAATCAAGCAGGTAGGTGGTATATTTCCGTTTCTAGTATCTCAATAATTTAATTACTTTAATCAGAAAACGCCCCGTTTCTGAGAATTTTCGTAGATAAGAAAGTTGGAGGTTATGATAAGACGACTAAGTCAGTCACGAAGTTTTAAAAGAGTGTTAATAATTCGATAAAAAAAAGGTTAATAAAAAATATTAGTCCAGAAAAGAAAAGTGCATGGAAATTGAATTCGCTTCATCAGCTAAATATCCTACTATCCCATTTTCCTTTCACCCGTATGGATATTCTAAACGTGGGCAGTACTATGCTATTAGATAATGGAAGAAACTTGACAAAAGACTAGAACTGGGGCAGTACGAACATTTTCTTGCTCCCAGTTTAACATTGTGAAGACATGGATGACACCTTCCGCCCTAAATTGAGTTTCCTGGGCGTCATTATTCACCCCTTCACTTTCTAGGAAGGGCTGAATGAGGGCGATGAACTGACTCAATGGGACGTCACCATGGAGACCCAACGCAAAACAGAAGTGAGCTGCTGCAGGGCTGTATCGCCAGTCGGCAACGCTCCGCCCAGGACAGCACAACCGGTGGTGAGTACCTCATCCTATGCTCTTCTCCTGCGTCTATGCTAGAAATATACCAGTCACTCATCCTGATGAGGACCAAATCTCCCAAATTACTTTTTCTTTTATATATATATATTTATACACATATGATATAATTTTATCGGACATAATTTGACATAATTTTTAACCTCATGTTTTTCGGCAAGATTGTTTGCATTACTTGACTTCAGGGTATGTTTCAAAAGTTTCCTCGATTACCCATTTTAAACCATATTCAACAGTTCGCCAAACAAATTATTTATTCTGCCAGAAAATGCAAACTTTCCAAAAATAAAATAAATTAAAAAAAAAATAGTTGTACTGGATACGGATGTTTCCCAACTATTAACAGTTTTAGCAGACCAAGCAGTCGTGTGATGTTTTTTTTTTTTTTTTTTTTTTTTTCCTTCAAACAAAAGTTTTTGTTAACTTGGTTTTCTATAATAAAAATCTTAATTTTTACTACAATAAATTCAAAGACACTAAAGTTTAAATGAGGAGGTCGTATTTGAGTGGCGAATGATTTTATTTTTAAAATAATTAAAATATACTGGTAATGAAAGATAAATAGTTTTTCTTTAAAAAAATAACACACACACAGAATTAATATGAATTTTTTTTTTATTTATAATTTTATTGAAATTTACAACTGTATTACATAATATGAATTAAAACGAAAAAAGTACATATGATTGCATTTTAAACCACATTCCAAACTAGCTCAGCAGTTCGCCAAACAGATTAAACATTATTCCAAACAACTCAAACTTTTTAAGAATAAAATAAATAGTTTTAAAAGACACTCATTTCTGCCAATTATTAACAGTTTTAGCAGACCAATCTTATATTGGTGTTGTTTTTTTTCTTCAAACAAAATGTTTTGTTAAGTTGGTTTTCTACAAAAAAAAAAAAATTATTTTTAATACAAATAATACAATACAATACAAATAATACAAATAAATATTTTTAAAATCAGAGATATTAAATTCTAAATTAGGAGGCCGTATCTGATTTTATTTTTAAAATAATCAAAATATGTTGGTAATGAAAGATAAATAGTTTTTCTTAAAAACATAATAACACACACACAGAATTTATATGAAATTAAACGAAATAAAAAGTACATATGATTCTATTTTAAATCATATTCCAAACTAGCTCAACAGATCGCAAAACAGATGAAATATTATTACAAACAACTCAAACTTTCAAAAAATAAAATAAATTAAAAAAAAAATAGTTTTACTAGGCACACATTTCTCCCAACAGTTTTAGCATAGCAATCTTATATTTATATTTAGCGGCCAATCTTATATTTGTGTTGTTTTTTTTTCTTCAAACAAATTGTTTTGTCAGCCTGGTTTTGTTCAATAAAAATGAAAATTTTACAACAAAAAAATTATAAATTTTATAGTCTAAATTATGAAACTCTATTTGATTCACTATAGTATTCATAAAATCATCGGAACATATTTATAACCCTAGTTAGTTACTCTTTTTTATTGTCAATTTAATTGAATAATAATACAATCTTCCACATTGAAGGGCAACAAGTATTAGAGAAATAAGTGTTCATTCCTACATATACATACAAAAGTTTAATACATTTAAATAATTTAAAAAATAAATACATAATTAAAATATAAAATAATAATTGATAAATATTATAAAAAAATAATATATTTGAAGCTGAGAAAAAATAAAATAAGTCTTGCAGATAATGAAAGATAAATAGTTTTTCCTAAAGATATAAAGCACACACACAAATAATTTATGTGATATAAAACGAAATAAGTATATATGACAGTCATATTCATTCTGGACCTATGTGAGATGGAGAAAGTTTGTCTAAATATAAAGTATTTTTTTTACTAACTTTAGTAACGTCTATATACATACAATGTACAAGTTCCATTACCTTACACTTACACATTCAAATTAACTTTTATTTTTATAAAGAATTTTACGTTTTTCCTTCTTTTTTTCAGAGCCATTAAAATTTTGTCCGAACATATTAACATTTCTATCAGTTTAATTAATGTTTATTAATTCAGTTAACATGTTTTTATTCCTTGTTGTCTATCCTACAACTAATCCAAAATTCATTTTATTAATATAATAAATTTATTTGATTAACACCTAAATTGATTTAGATGTGACGGTTTTAAGCACAATAGAATAATAAATAATAGGAAAAAAATATGTTTCACAATAATTTGGAAAGAAAATTATTAAACTATAAGTTTACTTCTGAAAATGGGTAACAAAAGCCCGATACTTCAAGCTAACAGAGAATCGTAAAAAATAAACATCTTATTAATCCTTAATACAAAAAAAAATAATTAGTTGTTTTTTTAAGATTCCAAATAATATCTCTTGGATGCATTTGATAAGTAACTTGTCAAAATTCATTCATGCGACATGCATGCACCTCCTTAAGCTGAAGTGAGATGTGCCACTTGTAGCTTCTACTTTTTTTTATTTTATTTTTTATTTATTTATAAATATAATAATCTGTCACGTGGACAATAAGTATAGTGAGATATGAACACATCCACGCCATATATACAGAAAACATAAAATTAACAAAGTACTATAGTGATTTTGTGATTTTCACTATGATGCCTCAATTGACAATACATTAATTACTTAACTATTTAGGAGTATTTTAGAAAATTATGATTGAAATACTTCATTAATAACATAGTTTTAATTTGTATACTCAGTATGTATAATTTATGAGCAAAATTAGTGAAAAATGCTTTGTAAATGAATTTACTTCTAATATAAGTGAGAATAGGTGATAGCCCTAGATTCTAATCGTTTTATCCATTATTATTTTGATAAAAATATTAATGAAATTATTTAGTATAATTATGTTTTGTTTAAATATAAATTCTGTCAAATACAGTGGAAAGAATAGTACAACAATTAAGACATCATCAAAGCAGAAAAATAAGATGCAAAATTAGAGTAAGCACATCACTCCAAGATATTGGAAAACATACTGATAGTATTTTTATTTGGAATTATTTAATTTTTTTTTTTACTGCTATCATTATTTATACACATTGCGTGTGGTATGAATGAATCAACTAGACAAAAAAAAATAAACTGACGAAAATTGAAAAAAAAAAATTGTTAATTCAACTAGGAAAAAAATGTAATGTCCCCGAGAAAATATATAATTTGCCTAGAAAAAGGTTTTATTGGTTAGCAAAAAAGTTCAATCTGTCTGACAAATTGTTGAAGTTCCCTATATATGAGTGGTATAGAACGTTTTATGGAAATTCCATATTGCAGACAAAATCGATCAAGTCATTATCAGATAATATCCACATTGTTATTAACTCATGCTATTCTCTTTCACGCTACCATCACTTTATCAAACGTTTTATATAAAGTTGTCTATAATACAATCCTACCCAAAAACAACATAACTAAATATCAATTAATATATACGTTATAAAAAAGTTAACATTTAATGATATAAGGAATTAAATCAAATAAACTCTTATACAAATATCATTGAAATGAATTGACAGAATAAAATAATAGTATGTAAATTAATGAATAAAAGAAAGAAAAAGAAATTAAGACTATGAATCAATTTTTAATGTTATTGTAATTATCATTCACTTTTATCAAAATTTTATTGTTAAATTAAAATTTCATGATTATAGAGCGTCTGTTTGGGATGTGAGAAGGTAGGACAAGAATAAATTTTAATAAAGATATGAAAAAGGTATGAGGTATGACATTGTTAAGAATTCCAGAAGGCGCTAAGCAGGCAAGAAAGGAACGTTCAAAGGTTTTAGTTCAGTGGGAAAGGATACAGAGCTCCGAAAAACAGAGTCTTGTTTTCTGTGAGTGGACCAAGGGTTTCAATTGTAGGAACGATACTTAATAAGTTAATAGTTTGGTGTAGAGATACGAGGAAATATTGTCTGCGGGAGGAGGGGAAGTACCACTATAATGTGCCATAAAAATGGGCTAAATGACATCGCTTCGTAATACCGAAGACAAATCTTGAAGCGCAGTAATGTCAATTCATTCCATACTGTAGGTTTTTTTACGAAATTTATTAAAAAATTAAGGAATTGATTTCAAATTTGAGACTATGTAAACCTTTTCTTTATAATATAATATAATATAAAATTTTTCATCCTAGGGTGTACCAAAATATAAACATCAAAATATGGGTGAAAGGAGTAAATTAAAAATTTTCCATTTTAATACTTCTAGAAGCCAATTTCTTTCCTGGTTTAGTGTAGAAAAAAATTACCATTAAGAGTTATTGGATGCAGTACTTTGTAAGGAGGAAGCACAGATTCTTGTTCAAAGTTGAGCAATGTAAAGAGATGATCTTACCTATATTAAGTTTAACAGCTAGGGATTTCCTTTTTAATTCTTCAATTAATAAAATATATCCACTTTGTATGAAGTGGTTGTGATTCAGAAAAGTCTTCTGACAACATTAGGGATCCACGATTTTTGTAACAGAATAAATAAATATCACAGCCGGAATCGAACCCGGGACAAACGTATTATAATTGTTTCCCTCTCACTTAGTTACCCGCTTCAAATATGATTTCAAAACTTTTAATACTGATTAATAATTATAATTAACGAAATTGAAGGTTATTTAATTCTTATGTTTTTCTTAGGGTAGATATTACCTTTCGCAATACAATAATAAAATCTCAGGGAATGAACAAATCCATAAACGAACGAAAACATGGGTTAGAAGTTCATAGCACCTTAAATCTCTGGTCACAATATAGTATTATTTACCTACACCCTGATAAAGGAACTTTTTATAGAAATCTCACCAAAATGTATTACATGTTTATATTTTTAAGTTAAACCATTAGGTAAAAATACCTATGTTCGTGACAAAGGAATGTTGGGTGAAGCTTGATAACTAGTTTTGCTCAAATGCGAGACCGCGACGAGTCTTGATATAGAAATATTACTGTAATTTT